TTTTTTTGTTGTTGTTGTTGTTGTTGTTGTTGTTGTTGTAGTGGGGATCATGTTGTTGTTGTTGTTGTTGTTGTTGTTGTTGTTGTTGTTGTTGTTGTTGTTGTTGTTGTTGTTGTTGTGGGGATCATGTTGTTGTTGTTGTTGTTGTTGTTGTTGTTGTTGTTGTTGTTGTTTTTGCCCTGTTTTGTTAAGAAGTGCACTCTACAGATTGGTGTAAAGTATGGTTAAAGTGGCCCTTTGGTTTTCTTATAAATGAGGGTGAAAATTGGGGGGTCGGTTAACCTTCTCTCTTCTGCTGCTGTTTGTTTTCCAACACCCTCACTCTCACGAGTTGCCTAGTTGTTGTTCCCCACAACTAGGCAATGGGGGTCGAAGGGCACACCAGCTGGGTGCTCAGGGATCCTTCGACGGCGGGGGGATCTATTGGCAGGATAACCACACGATAACGGCTCATACTCCCCGTCTTCCCCCACCGTGCTGATGGATGGGGGTTGGAGGGCACGCCAACTAGTTGTTGTTTCCCACAACTACGCGACTTCATCTGTCGGTCGTCCTGTTTCCAACAACTAGGCGCTGATACAAGTGCTGCTGTTTGTTTTCCAACACCCTCACCCTCATGAGCCCCCCACCCCCCCTGCACACACACACACACACACACATTGCCTACTTTTTTTTTTGGATCGCGAGTGGGGTATTTTGCAAAGTTTCCCACCTGTCATTGGGGAATTTGGCCACTATACCCCATGCCTTTTAGGGGTATCCAACGAAATGCTCCAACTTTCAGGGGCATTTCAAAAATTTTCCCAAAATAATAACATTTAAAACAAATTCGTCAACAAATGACAATAATAGGAAGGTCCTCCTATTTTTCTCATATTGGATACAGAATACTCCGGTCAGGGTTCTGCCTGGCCGGTATGCCTTGCTCATCCCACAGACTCTGGTCCACGATGGGACAGACACCGGGCCCGATGCCAGTGACCACAGCATAAAGCACACTATCTGCACAACCTGTCTCCGAAGAGTCCGAACGCCATATGCTGTTCGGACTCTTCGGAGAGCGGTTGTGCAGATAGTGTGTTTTATGCTCAGCCTGATAGTGTGTTTTATGCTGTGGTCGCTGACGACTGGATGGGCTTCAGGTTATGGGTCAAACGGAACGTCAGGGAGTTTAAACCACCAGTACCTACCACATTTTTCGTACCCCCACCGGTCGAATGAATATGGACCCGATAGGCAGACTGATTTGGCTACTGCGTTAACGGCCGCAACAACCGGTAGGTACTGGTGGTTGAACTAAGTGGAGGACAGATGGATGAGACACCTGAACAATGTCATAGGCCGGAACAATATGAAGTCCATCTGATTCAAATGGTTTGCCTAACACTGTCAGAAACAGTAACCGGCAAAAGCCACCTCCCTACACTGGCAAATGCCAAATAGCACACCGCTGCCTCCCTACGCTTGACTGGCTAATAGACCACACACCACCTTGGAACGGAGAGGACTAACTAGCCCTCCGCTGCTTTCCGCACGGTCAAAAGCAAAAGTGTCCTTCCCACCAAGCACCTCCCCGGAAACCACTGAACATGTCTTCATGCAATGTCCGGGGGCGGTCCTCACCTGGCGATGGTGGGACAGGATTTGCAACGGGAAATAAATAACTGGCGATCGGGACAGTCACTGGCCTTGGGACTGGAGAGCGATATTTGGGGGACACTGGCTGGCTGCTAGCCCAAGACAGCAACCTTTTTTTTATCGGATGTGTTCCGACTACAGTCTTCCCCCGAATACAACGTACGGTCATTATAGCTGAATTTAGACATACGGTCATTATAGCTGAATTTAGACTGAAAGATACCCCAAATTCAGCTATAATGACCGTACGTTGTATTCGGGGGAAGACTGTAGGACGCGGAGCTCTCCTCTGGACACGATGGTGGCGGAGATGCCCGCGAGAGAGTCATCGAAAAAATGTAGACGTGGGGGAGGGTGAAACCACAGAACGCGAAAGTATCAAACAACAGGGCCAGCAGGAACTCACCTCGAGATGGAAAAAGAAATATTAAGCAATAATCGACCAACTTCGGGACCATAGAGAGATCCGAAAACGGATCACTCTCTTCTGCCAAGAATGGCTGGGAGGGAGTGGAGGGAGGCTGGGTCACCCAAGTCGGCCGGCCAGGAGAAGGCAAGGAAGGACAGGGAACGTCGGCAGGGTCGGACTCTGCAGAGGAACTACCGCTTGGTGTTTGAGGACTGGACTACCGTAAGCCCCGATTTTCCGCTTCGCCCAGGTGTCGGCTTTCCTTGGACCCCTTTCCCCTCCATTCCCGGGTCTCTCAATCCTGCTCTCTGTGTTGGCTCTCAATAACACTGACCGATCAAGATTCAAGACCGATCAAATATAAGGGAGACCGGATGAGGCCCCGGCCCTCGTAGGCCTGTCCCTGCTAAGCTTGTAACAAGATGCCAGCCAGCTATGTAGTACTTTTCAGGTGGGCCCAGTTGGGGCTGAAGAGCCAGTCAGTCCCCTGGGTCTTCAAATGAATCCATGCTGCAGTGAAGATTCTGAAGAATAATCATCAGTGGACATCAGTGCAAGCCTTCAGTATATTCTGTATATTCTGTACAAACTTCACTACAAAGGGATGCTGGACCCGCTTTCCAGCAGGTGAAACTCCCCACCAATAGACCGGAGCACTGGCGGTGGGGATATACTATGAGGAGGTGCTCATATCATGATATCACCCCTTGCAGCACCCTGGCCCAGTTAAAAAAAGAAAAACAGAAAAGAAAAACAGAAAAGAAGAAGAAGAAGAAAAAGAAAAAGAAAAAGAAAAAGAAAAAGAAAAAGAAAAAGAAAAAGAAGAAGACACAATCTAATAGGTGCTCGACTGTCGCCGCTTAGAGAGAGTGAAAAGAGGACGACGAAAAAAACAAGAAGAAAGGAAAACGAAATAAAGAACCAAAAAAAAAAAAAAAAAGAACCATCCAATCATTGATGATCTTACAGCCCAATCTTACGGGCAGGTATGAGAGCCACAAGGGCATACAGATTCCTTCCCCTTTTTTTTTTTTCCTGCAGGGGCAATGCTAATCTTCTCTGTATCATTCCAATTTTAACAGATGTCCGGAGGACTAGGGCGGACTACTTTTCTTTTTTTTTGCACCAGAGGGCCCAGCATGCCGTGATGGTTTCGTGAATCTGAACCCCGATCAATGTCAGCGGCGGAGCTGGATATACACCCGGCCTGCTCTTGAGACATGGGTTTTGTACACCTGAAGCAAACAAAAAAAAACAAAAGAAAACTGTGAGTCTCCTTTGCATGTTTGAAAATCTCCCTTTTTTTTTTTTTTTAATTAAGTGCGTAGTTTTTCATCCGCTAATTACATATTTCTAGACATTTATCTACAACCTTTTTTTTACCTTTCTTTCTTCCCCCCTCCTCTCCGTTTTTTTTCAAAATTTTGTCTTTCTTTTTTGAAGTTTTTTCCCTTGTTTTTTTTTTCTTTCTTTCTTTCTTTCTTTTTAACTTCAGTTCTCGGGAACCACTTAACAAGGTGATAAGAGCATCCACGTTAAGTGGACATGGGTGTTGAAGGCTCCACCTATTGGTGGGGAGGAGCGACACCTGCTGGAAATCAGGTCCAGTGTCCCAGTACAGTACAATGTGTTCATAGTACTTCATACTTGGTGTTCAGAATAGGGGGCCCACTGATGGGCCCAAGCTATAAAGAATTGTCAGGGATTGTAAATGCAAGTTATTGTTTTTCGAAGCGGGCGCCTTGGTGGGGCTGCTGTAGTCTTCAATTGGAAACACTCGCTCGTTCCTGTGACCTTGAGCTGAGAAGGCCAACGGTCTCTAGGATCTGAGCTCGATAGCACGTGTCGTGTCTTCTGCCTATTGTTTGTTCAGGGTCATTATAAGAAACGCCCCTCACAAAAAAAAAAAAAAAGAAAAAAAAAAAAAAAGAAAAAAAAAAGAAAAGAAAAAAAAACGCCCCTCACCTTTTAAGCCAGACTTATCACCAGTCCATAGAGTGGACACCAAATAAACCAACAGCAAAAAAAAAAGGTGAAAAAATGGATCAAAGGGGCCTAAAACCCTAAGGCAAAAGTGTGTTTGCATGCAAAATTCGCTCTGTTCAGGAATTTCAGGATTTTTCAGGGCTGGCCAAAACAGTCATCTCCAAGACCCCAACAAACACCAAACTTGGCACACACAGACCTTGACCAAAAATAGAACAGGAAAAACTGGAAAAAAAAAAATCCCCAAATGCACTTTTCAGTGTTGGGGGTGTTAAGCTGGGGCTGAAAAGTGGGGGTCCCTGTTAACCACTTGTGGCCTGTGGGGTCTGGCCCCATCTGCTGTTCCTCCTAAGTCCAGGGTTTAGATTATTCTTCCTTGCCGTGCGGTGGGAGTCCTTTGCTTGGACGGCATCCAGCAGTGGGGTAAGGGAGGTGGTGTGGGGAGAGGAGATGAGACAGATGGAGAGAGGAGGGCAAGGGAATGGTGGTGGACTTGTGGGGCGTGTAGAGGGTTTAGGGTTTTAGGAGGGATTAGGGGTATTCGCTCCTGACCCAGGATGAGCACAGTTGGTTGGAAGGGGACGACAAAGTGGCCAAGTGGTAGGCGTTCCTATTGCCTTTCTGTAGTCATCCATGGTTTCCACTGCAGTTGGTTGCCTTGACGCAGTTCACAGAGTCTGCATTGTCCACCCATAGGGAGCGGAGGTTAGCGCGGAGATCGTTGTGTTTGATTTTACCAGGTTCAGTGGCCACCGTTTGTTTGAGCTCCTTCCAGGCTGCATGTGTATTCGCGGTGATTGTTTCTGTGACTGATGACCTTGCCTCCATGTAATTTTATGTGTGTTGCTTGTGTCCAGGCGCACACCTCATCCGCCATGCTGCCATTAGCATCGGCAGGCGTGTGTTACTTAACAGGTGGTCATGAAGGGCGATCATTGGGTTGCTTGTGGAGGTGCTTGTCCCTCAGGGGACGCTGGAACTGCTTTTCCAGCACCGGGTGTAGCTCCCCACCAATAGAGTGGAGCCCCAGATAGGAGTGCAGGCTCTTACCATCACTCCTATCTGTTGTCCCGGGTGGAATTTTTAAGCAAAAAAAAGAAGAAAAAAAGGAAAATTTAAATTTTAAAGTGGATTATCAATTTATCACATCTGGTTGGCACCAAGTGCGCCAGAGTTCGTCAGCCGGGATTGAACCCACAACCTCCTGAATGCCACTGGCATGCCTAACCAACTGAGCTAGGCCTGTGGATTATTCATTTATTTATTGGGAAAAGATTATTTAAAATTACAAAATGTATCCTGATTCCTGGATTAAAAGACAGTAAAAAAAAAATGGGCACAGGGAATTTAGGAGGACAGTCAAAACGGTAAAAAAAAAAAAAAGACCATACTTGCAGTGCGCTGCGCCGTGCGGAATGCGCGCGGTGACACCGCGCGTGCATGTGCGCGCGCACGCGCACAAGGTGTGCCGTGCGCGCAGCGCATGGGGACGCGCTACCCGTGCAAGGTGCGCACTGTGCGC